GAGAATGACCATTACGTGTCAATTCTCATTTCAAATCAGTCACTACATTCTGATTCACCCTTTTGAGTTCGATCCTTACCTTCCGATGCTCTCTTTTGAGATTGATCACTACCTTTTAATTCACATTTTAGAATCGGTCCTTAACCTCTGATTCACTCTTTTGATGTTGGCCCCTACCTTGCGACACTCTCTTTTGAGATTGACCATTACCTGTCTATTCTCATTTCGAATCAGTCACTATCTTCTGATTCACCCTTTTGAGGTCGGTCCTTACCTTTCGACGCTCTATTCCTGAGAATGACCGTTACCTATCAATTCTCATTTTGAATCAGTCACCACTTTTTGATTAACTCTTTTGAGGTCGGTCCTTATCTTCTGACGCTCTCTTTCCGAGAATGACCATTACTTGTTAATTCTCATTTTGAATCAGTCACTGTCTTCTGATTCACCCTTTTGAGGTCGGTCTTTACCTTCTGACGCTCTCTTTCTGAGAATGACCATTAACTGTTAATTCTCATTTCAAATCAGTCACTACCTTCTAATTCACCCTTTTGAGGTTGGTCCTTACCTTCCGACGCTCTCTTTCTGAGAATGACCATTACCTGTCAATTCTCATTTCGAATCAGTCACTACAATCTGAATCACCTTTTGAGGCCGGTCCTTACCTTCCAATGCTCTATTTTAAGATTGATCACTACCTTTCAATTCTCATTTTAGAATCAGTCCTTAACCTTTGATTCACCCTTTAGAGGCCAGTCCCTAACCTCTGATTCACACTTTTGAGGTCAGTCCCTACCTTCCGACGCTCTCTTTCGAGATTGACCATTACTTGTCAATTCTCATTTTGAATCATTCACTACATTCTGATTCACCCTTTTGAGGTTGGTCCTTACCTTCTGATGCTCTCTTTCCAAGATTCACCATTACCTGTCAATTCTCATTTCAAATCAGTCACCACTTTTTGATTCACCCTTTCGAGGTCGTTCCTTACCTTCTAACGCTCTATTTCCAAGAATGACCATTAACTGCCAATTCTTATTTCGAAACAGTCACTACCTTCTGATTCACCCTTTTGAGGTCGGTCCTTACCTTCCAATGCTCTCTTTCTGAGAATGACCATTACCTGTCAATTCTCATTTTGAATCATTCACTACCTTCTGATTCACCCTTTTGAGGTCGTTCCTTACCTTCTGATGCTCTCTTTCCGAGAATGACCATTACCTGTCGATTCTCATTTCGAATCAGTCACTACCTTCTGATTCACCCTTTTGAGGTCGGTCCTTACCTTCAAACACTCTCTTTTTGAGATTCACCATTACCTGTCAATTCTCATTTTGAATCAGTCACCACCTCTTCATTCAACCTTTTGAGGTTTGTCCTTACCTTCCTACGCTCTCTTTCTAAGAATGACCCTTACCTGTCAATTCTCATTTTTGAATCAGTCCTTAACCTCTAATTCACCCATTTGACGTCGGTCTCTACCTTCTGACACTCTCTTATGAGATTGACCATTACCTATCAATTTTCATTTTGAATTAGTCACCGCCTGCTGATTCACCCTTTTGAGGTCGGTACTTTTCTTCTGACGCTCTCTTTCCGAGATTGACCATTACCTGTCATTTCTCATTTCGAATCAGTCACCACCTTCTGATTCACCCTTTTGAGGTCGGTCCTTACCTTTTGTTGCTCTCTTTCTGAGAATGACCATTACGTGTGAATTCTCATTTTGAATCAGTCACTGCCTTCTGATTCAACCTTTTGAGGGTGGTCCTTACCTTCCGACGCTCTCTTTTCGAGATTGACCATTACCTATCAATTCTCATTTTGAATGAGTCACCATCTTCTGATTCACCCTTTTGAGGTCGGTCCTTACCTTTCGACGCTCTCTTTCCAAGAATGACCATTACCCGTCAATTCTCATTTTTAATCAGTTACTGCTTTCTGATTCACCCTTTTGAGGTCGGTCCCTACGTTCTGACGCTCTCTCTTGTGATTGATTCTTAACTTTCAATCATTATCCTGGGATCAACCCCTAACTTTTAATTCCTCTCTTCATGGTCGGTCCCAAATTTCTGACCCTCTTTTGAAATTAATACCTGAGTTTCAAATCCCCCCGGGGTCAACACTTACACATTGATCCCCATCCTCTATAAATTTCTGAAATCACATAAATCAAAATCCACTTTCCAATCCTCAGCGAGAGTCCCTACTTCTTGACTTTGAACAAATATTTACCTGATATATTCCCCAGTGGAAATAAATAGTGTTGACCTCACTTTTGGTTGAGGTCTAGAAAACTTCTTTAAGTAGCCTAGGTCTAGCCATAGGACTTTCCTATTGACTAGTCTTAGAAAATTAGAAGAGGTACCCCACTATTAGGAAATTTAAAGCCTTTCTCTTTACTCAACTTGAAATTCCACATATTGATCTTAACCTCTAGCATTTAGTAGGTAAGATCAATATAAGAGAATTCAAGAAGAGTCCCTATAGGATTACTTGGCTTTAGAATTGACCCTGGAACTAGGATACACCATATCTTCACAATATATTAATC